ACGGCGTATGTGCGCTCGCAAAATCTTCTGCAAGCGAACATACCCAGTCGGCGAGCGAGACATGTGCCACTCCACAGTGGCTTCTTCTGTCTCTCAATGCCTGCGGTATCATCTGCGCACGTTCGGTGACAATTGCATCGAGTTGCCTGCGTCATCAACGACTTTCATTTCCAAAGGTGGAAAGCATCTTTTTGACTCCAGCGATATCGGCAAGCAAAGCGGCTCGCCACAGTGCCTCATCATGCTCTGACAGTGTATGATCTGTGCATGTTGCGTCAATCAAACCGTGGCTTCAAGTACGATCTATGCACGTTGCATCCATCACACCCAGTTGAAACGGCACCGACAAAAACTTCACTGCGCCATACCGACTGATCTTGTTTCTTGCAAACTGCGCCAAACGAATGCGTTCTTCCAAAACAACTGGCAAGGTGTCAAACGTATCGCATCGCACATACTTTTGCTACCCTGCCATTTCCTGTGAATGGCGATAGAATGCCTCCATGCATGTTTCTTCGATGGAGCCTCCGACGAAAGACTCGATAGAAGAAACATTCATGGCAGCATTCTATCGCCGTCGGTAGAAGCATCCATCGAAGAACTTTTCCCAGAAAGCAGCCACAACTCCAACAAGCAGGTTCCTGTGGATCAAAGGCATTGAACCGAGGACGCAACCAGTCCGCAGCAGGTGTCCGCGTCGGCCTCATTGACGGCGACTGCGAAGGTAGTGGCGGCCGCCCAGGGGGCGGAGGATGAGGACCATTGTTCCTTACACTTCCGGCTCCTCCCCAGGCAGCGGCGCTGCTCGCCATCAGCTATGGTTCGCTAGAACGCAATCGAGCCTACTTATATTTCTCACTGTGCCGGCATAGTTTTTTGCACATTCCACGAAAACAAAGTTTTATGCAAAGGAGATGGAAGGGTATCAAAAGTACCGCACATACGTACGTTTCCTACCCTGCCATCTCCTTTGGATGAAACAATCTTCATCCATATCTTTCATGTCATCCGACGGCGTATGTGCGCTCGCAAAATCTTCTGCAAGCGAACATACCCAGTCGGCGAGCGAGACATGTGCCACTCCACAGTGGCTTTTTCTGTCTGCGCCGGCATAGTTTTTCGCACATTCCGCGAAAACAAAGTTTTATGCAAAGGAGATGGAAGGGTATCAAAAGTACCGCACATACGTACTTTTCCTACCCTGCCATCTCCTTTGGATGAAACAATCTTCATCCATATCTCTCATGTCATCCGACGGCTATGTGCGCTCGCAAAATCGTCTGCAAGCGAACATACCCAGTCGGCGAGCGAGACATGTGCCACTCCACAGTGGCTTCTTCTGTCTCTCAATGCCTGCGGTATCATCTGCTTGATGCGCCCAGCCACGGCAGTGTTCTGGTCGCCGCGGTACTCGGACGGCTTCAAGCACGTCACTGCCATGTTCGTGCTTCTGGCCGTACCCATGCGGTCCCAATATTCTATGCAGCTTGCTTTGATGTACAACTGTGAACTCATAAATGCATTATTGAAAACATTTGGTGGTCTTTATGCTCTGGTGGATGTGGTGGCTTCTTTCCACGTTGGGCCAAAGCCACCAGAACGGCAATCGATGATTCGATATTGATCTAGAACCCTGTTTGTATAGTGTTGTATGAGCTACCAAGTGATAACCACAAGTGTCGAGCCGTCGGTACCGAGCCAAAAGCACCTTCGAAAGGAGCATCTCTGCGCACGATTTTGCAAGAATGAAGGAACATGTCACATGGTGCGCTGCGCCGAAATTGTCCAAGCAATGCGATGACAGCCATGCCTCTTCTACAGCCACGCGTCGGAATGTGATAACATCGAGAGAAAGGATCTGGTTGTCAATGCACCTCATACACACGCATATGACGAGCATAGCATAGCACTTAAATTATACCATACACACGGCATTGCATTTCTTACCCACCGGATGAACGCAGTACCAAGAAGGCAAGTTCTCTTTGCATAAACTGCATGCACAGACATGCGGTATCACTAGGGTTATATTTTGTTTTCTATCTGCATTCCTCTGTCCATTGTTTCATGTGAATTCTTCCCACAGTGGGTCAAATTCGAAGCTCATCGGGACAATGGGCCAGCAGTGGGCACGTTGCGCCAAACCAACTTGTTTCCGGATCACTGCGGATACTGTTGGATAGCGGTCATCCACCTTGGTCACATGGACATTGAACATTTTGATCTCTTCGGCGTTGGCGTCATTTCTGACAGAGCTCGCTCCACAACCTCACACACAGACAACCGCCTCTTCTCCCAGGTTTTGAGCGCCCACAAAATGTGTGGCCTTTTCACCCAAGGATTGAGAGTAGGACGTGCCTTCAAGAGCACATCAATGGCGTCGTCTGCGTTCATTGCGTGCTTGAAAATCAGCCACGCAGCCAAAGCAGCGCTGCTCCGATTGATGCCACCAAAACAATGAAACAGCAAGCCAGTCGAGAGCTTGTCTCCTCGCTCTGAAAGAGAACGACTGATTTGCACACACATACTTTGCCATGCGGCGACATAGCAGTTACCCATCTCTTCGCAAAAAGAATCTTCTCCGGGCCACTTTGTTCTGGGATCGTCCAAATCTATCGTGACGTGTTCCACAGACATTCCAAGCAAGAATGCAGCCCAGCCTTCTTCGGGTTGTCCACGAATTCTTTGCATCTCAGATGTGCACAAACTGATGACAACATGCACTTCTTTCGTGTCCCTCAGACATCGCAGAGCTGCCAGGCTGCCGAGAAAACAAGTTGCAGTCTCCGTGCGGTCGACCGGGTGCACACGAACCATGTCGTTGGGCCATTCTGAAATGTCACCAAAATGATACTCGAAACCATTCACCAGTCGATCAACTTCTGGCCACTCACTTTCCGGCATTGCGGCACTGCGACGAAGCTTGGCGGCTGCATCGGTGCACCATTGCTGCATTTCCGTATCATACGGATCCATGTCTACAATTGATCGATCCAATAGCTTCTTCGCACGTTGCACCAAAGCCTCGGATCGGCAGTATGTCACAGGGCAGAAGCGAGCCAGACTGCGTGCGTGTTTGAAAGCCAACCAAGCCGAGCAGCAAAACTCATGGAAACAATGTGGAAACATAATTCTTTCAACGCAGCCTGGACAAAGGATTCCTTTTGACACGCGCGACTCTGGTCTGACCGCCATCACGTAAAAGAAAGACAAAAGTCACCACACATTGTTTTAACCTTTGTCTTGGATGATTTTGAAAACGGCATCATTCAATGCCTCTGCGAGCGTCAGGTAAGAAGATTGCAATTTTCTGCGTGATGGGAGCACAAAAAGATTCTATATACTCTGTGTCAACAAACGGAGCGGCGTGCAAACCTTTAAAGCCCAGAAAACTTTTTTCTCCAGGACCAGGAATGCATTTCTGAAAGTACGCCGCTAAAATGCAATTTAACGCGACCACGTCCATTACTGCACTGCAATCACCTGTAAGAGTCGCCAACCATCGATGATCCCAATTGGCAAATCGAACAGCATGGGTTTTGCAGAAATTTGCATAGGTAGGTCCATGTTTGGACTCATGATTCGTCGGCGGTGGAACTTGCGCGTCATCCATGTAAAAGCTTTGAAAGGCTTCCCAAGACCAGGCCATAATCCACCAACAAGCTTGAAACTGCACTGGTTCCACAAAGGTATTTTTCGTTCTCTTCTGCCGATAACCCTGACCAGCCATTTCCCAAGCTTGCCGCGGCACTGTCTTGGCGCGTGGTTCAGCCGGAGCCGGGGTGCCATCCGAATATGTGAATCGCTCCAGATAATTCACCCGCGTTGACACTTGGATGGGTAGAGGCACTTTCAAGCCACCACCAAGAGCAGACCGAATCAGCTCTGGAGTCAATCGTGGGATTTCTTCTGCAACCACGGAGTGAACGAATTGATATGTTTCCTCCATTTTCATTTCCCAAGTTTTCAAAGCCCATAAGATGTGAGGTCGTTCCTGCCAAGGATTCAACGTAGGTCGCGCTTGCAATAACAATCGAATTCCTTCAGAGGCAGTCATATGATGCCGAAATATTAGCCAGGCCACCAAAGCAGCGCTGCTGCGATTGTTTCCGGACAAGCAATGGAAAAGCAGTCCAGCAGGAATGTGTTCTTTGTGATTTCTCCGAGACCGGCAGATAAGGACGCACATGCTCCGCCATGCAAAGAAATATGCATTCGCCATCTTTTGGCACAAGGGACCTTCTCCTGGTGCTGTTGTTTTCGGATCAGCGAGTTGAATTGCAAAGTGGTCGATGCACAAACCACGCAGAAATTGGTCCCAGCCTTCCTGAGGACGGTCAACAAGGTTACGGAGGTGAGGTGGGCCAAAGCTTACCATTATGTGAATGTGATCTTCTAGTGTAGGGCAGCGCAAAGCTGCCGAGCTGCCGACGTAGACTACTTCTGTGGAGCCTTCACCGGTGCCGTACACACAGGCAATGTTTTCACCATTGTCGCCAATGCCCATCGCATTCCTTTCCGATGTCTCATCTTGTGTCCAGCCGCGACCGATGCGGGCCTGCATCTGGACACACCACCGTCGCGTTTCGTTGTCGAACGGCTCCATGGCATTGAGATGTAGGATCAAATCGAACAAGACAGCTGCGGAACAGAAAGATACACCGGCCTGCGCAGACCGAACTTTTGCTGTTGAGCTCCCGGCCTCACGCGAGGCCGTCATTGACGTGCAGTGCCTGGCAGCAAAGAAATGAACACAAGCGAGAACAGGACAGAAATAGTTCTTCCATTATTCCTAACCAGCATTGCATTTCCAGATACGAAAGTTGCCGCGCGGTTGCTTCATTTTTTTCACAATGACTCCTAGGCTATGTCTCTGCCAAGGCTATCATCCTCCCACATTAGGTCAATGACGGCCAAGAACCAGCGGTTGCAATTCGTGTCTTTCCACATTGACTCAACAGCAGGTTGCGAGCCAATCAAGCTGGAGACTTGCTTGACGATCACACTCCAGCGACCGGAGCAACAGGTGGCTCCGTGGGGGAGCCTAACAAACGAGTATGCGGCAAGAATGCAGCAACTTTCTGTGCAACAGGCGCGCAAAAATCTTCTAAATTGCCAAATGAGCGATAATACAAACCATAATACCCCATGACATCGTCATTCTTGTCACTTACCATGAGCTGTCGCGAAAAGTCTGCCAGATCACGCGTCAACTGCACTGGATCGAGAACTCTGGTGCAACTTGCTGTCAGCGATCGCAAGCGATTTGCGGCTGGGTCACCGAATCTGACAGCAATTTTTTTGCAAAATCGATCTCTTGTCAGTGGATTCTTCGCCTTGTGAGCCAGTGGCGGCACCTTGGCGTCATCGCCATAGAAAGCATCGATGACTTCCCAGAGCCAGGATACAATCCACCAACACGCCTGGTACTGCACAGGCGACACAAAATTACGTCGCGACTTCTTCTGATGCCGTCCTTTCCCTTCTGCTGCCCAGTCATCTCTTGTTTTTCGCGGGTGCGGCCGAAACGCCTGGCTGCCATCTCGGTTGTGATACCGTGTGCAATAGTCCAAAGACGTCGTGGGTTCATGCGGAAAACGCACGGCTGTGAAAGTCAGAGACAATAAGGACCAAACTCGGAGATATTCTTGCGTTGATTTGAAAACATGGACCGCACCCGTGTGCAGTGGCTGCCCGGGAAATACAAAGCCATCGCAGCCTTCCTGATCGCAAAGCAAGAAGTCGATCCTTTGTCCTCTGGTATCGATCCATCGCTGCACTGCTTGATAATCTTCAGGGGTAATGTCTGTGGTGGTTGGGACATTCCAAGTCACGACCTTTCCCTGCACGCAGCAACAGCCATGGACGCATTTCCTTGCTCCATCGTCGTGGGCATGCAGCTCGATGATCATGGTAACGTTTTCTATTCCGGTTATGTCCGGCAAAGAGACATCCAGTCGTTTGCAGTCCGAGTACCGAATTGCCCATGACTTGCAAAGTACTTCTGGCTTCTGGCGGCAGTCCTGCAAGTTCCATTGCAGAAATTCTGTTCGCTCTCGAACTTCTTCGTCGACAATAGCCTGCAATCACATGTGTCATACCTTTGAGGAAGTTGATTTTTTTAAGCAACAAAAGTAAAGCGCCTCCTCAAGCGCAGGTTCATTTGCTTTCGTCCCTGCCTGCTCGCAAAGACTTCATTGATGACATCAACCAAGAACCGAATCAGACACAGAAGACTTGAATTGATACCGGTTCAGACAACTTCCACCTGCTCAACGGCCGGCGGCTTTGGCAGCGGCTCTACCGCCTGACAAACAGAGTTTGACACGCATCCAACAAGTGCAGCATCCGATCTAGGAGCTTTTCAGCGACCATCGGCTACAAACAAAAGTGCCATTTCTCATCCAGTCATGAACTATGATGAGGAAAATGAATTTAGCACCTCCTGCATGTCAGCTCGTTTCGCAAGTTGCTTCGCCTGTTCACCAGGAGGTCACTGGCATGCAGCTACGAAAAGGATAACCGGACATATAACGGCCGTAATTGCCGATTCCTTTCCAACGTGCTTGTCTGCCTACGCGTAAAAAGGTCACTGCGATCATCCAACAAGCGCGGCACCGGCCTCCAGGTGTTCCTGCGGTAAACTTTGGCGCTTCTTTGGCGCCTGTGGCAGTGATACGCAAGAATCTTCTGGAGAGCCATGGGCGGTGCCAGCCTCAAGTTGTCTTCGGGCTCGCTTCTGCAGTTGGTCACTTTCCTTTAGAGTTGGCCACTCTGCCTGACAGCACGACGAATAAATATGATTCAAACAAACGAAAATGATGCAAAATCACAGCAGCTCTGCACTCTTCACAAACTTCACATCTCCTGAGCAGGCGCCACTGCCGCAGCTGCCAGGGCAGGCACGTTCGGAGCAGGTACCTGCATTGGGCGAAGAAAAAAGCGTCATGCATCAGACTCAAATGCAGCAGTAACCATCCCAACCTGTGCGTCAGCATGGTGTGTGATGCTGGACCTCGCAGTCGTTGCGGCGACATCCTGCAATCAAGCTTGGCAACGATAGAAAGAATCGTGTCATTACTGCTGCTGCACTAAAGCAAACGTCACTGCTTCCTGCATGGGGCTGCCCCGCTCGACAGATCGACACAATGCCTTGCGACAGAAGTCAAGAACATAGACATCGAACTTAAGAACACACAGCAGCAACCACCCCAACCTGTGTGTCAGCATAGTGTGGGATGATAGAACTCGTAGACGTTGCGGCAACATCCTGCAAGCAAGCTTGGCAACGATACAAAGAAACCTGTCATTACTGCTGCTGCACTACAGCAAACGTCACTGCTTCCTGCATCGGGCTGCCCTGCTCGACAGATCGACACGAGGCCTTGCGACAGAAGTCAAGAACATAGACATCGAACTAAGAACACAGACATCGAACCAGCCTCAATGGGTCCAAGCTCAACCTGCAGCTTCGATGCCACGTCTTTCAGTTCAAATCCTTGGTTATGCTTATGCATCATGTGCTCTGTCAGCATCGACTTCCATTGCATATAGGCAGGCCACTGTTCATCTGAACCTTTGCTGAGACTTGTTATCTCGCTTATCTGCCTCTTCGCTACTTTGTGTATTGCGACTTCGAAATCAGTCTTTCTCTCCTTGTAAGCTTCGAGATCAATGAAATACCATCGCTTCGTTGCTTTGTGAAAACACAGATTTCCACTGTGCAAATCGTCATGCCACTCCAAGTCGCTCGAACATGCGTTTTTGCACATGACCATCATTGCCAAAAACAATTTCCGAAGCACGTGAGGTGCAGATGAATCTTTGTTCCAGGCCACATTGTAAGCTTGCAAAATGTGTTGCAAGCTGTCGCCAACAAAGTCCACCAAAATGCAGTCCACCTGCATACTCTGATGCCAATTGTCTTGTACTTCTTGCATGCAGATTGCATGCACAACAGGCAAATGGGCGCCGACCGGTGTGTCGCTGTACCTTTCATACCCGTCCTTCTCGTTTGGATGAAGACCCTTCCAATCCTCTTTGTCAACTTCGAAAAACCATTTCACGCACAAGTCGTGATCTTTCAACTTGAAGCAATCTCGCCCAGCGCCAGCCCCGATCCATGACATGTAATCCCTGGCAGTGTCACCATTGTCCAGATCGAGGACAATTTCGTATGTTTTGGCCGACTTCCTCTTTCGCGTTCGATTCTCGGCCTTTGACATCCAAAACTCGCAAGGAATCTCCACTATGCGGAAGGACGAGACCTTCACCATGAGGCAGTTTAAATTCTACTCTGATCACTTCTTTCCACGTTGGTCCAAAGCGATCAGATCAGATTTACAATTTGTACTGGTTACTTCTTTCCACACTGGATCAAAGTAACCAAGGAGATGGAATCTATTTCATGTGGCGAATTTTAAGCTGTCACTGACAAGCTCGTCGAATCTGAGCACTGTTGACTTTATGGATGGAAATGTCTCAAACTATTGACATTTGAGCACTGACCATGACCCAGCGAGATCTATAGAGCCAAGCAACAGAGGCATAACTGCAACGTGAAAAAAAGGATGGCCAGTGGCTGCAATGCTACAAAACTTGTGGCATGCAAGTAACGAGATTGTTGAAGACGCGCACGACCTTTTTGTCTCATCAGATACACTGCTGTCGGGAGCTTAGTTCTCAGGTGATGCGCTAATCCGATTGGGTAAGGAATCTATGAGCTGATCCACAGCACGATCACCTGCACCAAGCCTGGCTGATGTAAGAAGATCGAAAAGCATGGCCCGTAGATGCTTGAACAAAAGAAAGTCTTCAGGTTTCAGCAGGGGCGATTGACTCGTTGCCCAGTCTGTCACCAAGGATAAAGCAGCTGACAGCTGAAAGACGAACAAATGGGCTTGCGCGCCCGGTAGTGACGAAACAAATGTCACCACTGAGGCTGGATGTGTCCTTTCTTTGATCCAACCTGCGGGATCTAGATCCGCTTGCGCAGCATCGTCAGAAATCAAAACTTTAGCAGCAAGAGAACATAAAACTGCAATAAGGGACCAATGATATTTCGATGCGATGTGAACAGCCACTGCCGAAACACCGGCAAGACATACCTCAAGACGGGCATGATTAGTGTCGTCAGTGGCCCATTCACGTACAAACGGCAAAGCTGAAGCCACCATGTCATTCAACCGAGCAAAATCGGTCATGAGGGCGTGTGCGATAGAACCGAATCCATAAAACACTGCGATAGAACTGTATCCATAACACTTTGACAAGTCGCTTTTTTCCACGTTGGGCCAAAGCGATCAGATGAGATTTGCAGTATGTACTGGTGACTTCTTTCCACACTGGATCAAAGCAACCAATGCGGTGGGATATTATCGAACTGACAAGCTCGTCAAATCTTAGCCTGCTACTTGGATGGAAATGTCTCACAACCTTGTCATTTGAACATTGACCATCTGACTATGAGCCAAAACATCGGCCATTTTGCAGTATGTGAACACCACCAGTAAGGAAAGTGCATGCAGTCACAAGAAGTTAGAAACATATCAGCACGAAACAATGATAACTGCCACACGAAACAGTAATTGAACGCCTCCATGAATCGACGAGACCACGGCTCCGCAGACTGACCTGGCGCATGCGTGTCAAAGTACAGTGGCTTTTTGAACCCCTTCATTCACACCTCGCTCAGTACAGAACACCTTTGCTTGTAAACTACCAAATCTCTTCGAACAACGTCATGATACACAGCTAAAAGTACGCCATCTTCACTAATCACTAGCCGGCGCTGCTCGCCATCAGGAAAAACAAATGTTGTCCTCTCATTCTTTTTTGTCACGTGGCGTTGCGCTGTACTCTTAGAATGCTTGCGGTATGATCATTGCACATTGCATCAATCATACCGAGCGGCACGCTTCCTCAGAGCCTGCGGTATGATCTCTGCACGTTACGTCAATGATACCGTGACTCCAAGTATGATCTGTGCACGTTGCGTCAATCACACCCAGTTGAAAATGCGCAAATTGCGCCAAACCAATGGTATGTATAGCACTCAGAATGCAATACCGATGGCTTTCAACCAAGTTTTCTCTGTCAGACTTAACTGCCGGTCAATGATTGCCTGCGCCGCATTCGCCACAGTACAACTTTCGTGAGTAGCTAAAATAGCCAACTTCTCTTTGGCTGCCTTGCAGCGGCCAACACGGCAAAACATGCGCAAAGGCCATTGTCGACAGGCATATGGATGCGATACCTGTGTTTCATAACAAGACATCAAAGGGTCAACCCCCTCCTGCAACAGCGACAGCAATTTGCCATCGAAATGGTCATGACAACTTTGGCCCAATGCTGCCTGCCATAGCTCGACTTGTGCCACTGCGCTGCGACTGCATCTGTGACCGATGATATCGCTGCCGTTACAGAGATCTGAAAAGATTTTGCCATCTTCTGTCTCTTCACTCATTTCAGTACTCAGTTGCACAACGATGAGATTTTCCTGATCCTCCAAAAATTGTAAAATTCTTTCATATCTTTCGTCCAAATCTTCATCTAAAGGTTCTTTCTGTCCCAGCAACATGCGTTGCAAGATGACATACATCCGAAGGCTCCATCGACGAAACCTTGTAGGAGGCAATTCCATGGAGTTGCCTGCGTCATCAACCACTTCCATTTCCAAAGGTGGAATGAAAACTGACGCATCGGTTCTCTCTATGATCTGTTTGACTCCAGCGATGTCGCCAAGCAAAGCGGCTTGCCACAATTCCTGATCATGATCTGACAGAAAGAACTTTTCCCAGAATTGATCCACAACTCCAACGGCGGGTTCCTTTGGATCAAAGGCATTCAAGCGGGGACGCAACGTCGGCTTCATTGCCGGCGACTGCGACGGTACTGGCGGCCGACCAGGAGGCGGGGGAGGAGGACCATGATACCTTACATACCTCACACCTTTGGCTCCTTCCCAGGCGCCGGCGGTGTTCGCCATCAGCGATGGTTCCCTAGAACGAGTTGGGACTACCTATATTTCTCTTGTCTCTGAACACTGCAGTGGCACTAGATCCATATCACTTCCAACACGGATATGTGCTTCAATGCAAAACTGGAAAACAAGTGCTGTCCTCTCATTCCTTTTTGTCAGCTGGCGTTGTGCTGTACTCTTACAAAGCTTGCTGTATGATCATTGCACGTTGCATCAATCATACCAAGCGGTGCGCTGTCTCAGCGCTTGCGGTATGATCTGTGCACGTTGCGTCAATCATACCGTGGCTCCAAGTATGATCCATGCACATTGCGTCAATCACACCCAGAACCGGCATGGACACCGGTTAAACATTTCAATGCGTTCAAAAAGTCCAATCGACGCAAAGCAAGGCCGCCAAGGTTTTTTGTTCAGCCACGTACCAGAAATGACGCCCACTGTAGGCACGAGCAACCAGCCACTTTTCTTTCTGCTCCACTAACGTCAACGAACACACAGTGTCCTTGTTGTGCCATTTCTTCAATGCATACAAAAATTCAGCTAAACGCCATCTTTGACAGACAGCGGGCACAATCAAACCAACAGCTTCAGCATTGATAAAGACATCATAGATCCACCACTCCGGCAACTCAAAATACGCCTTGAACTTCTCACAATTGTTCTCCGTTGCGCAAATCACACTGCGAAATCCAGCTGTCCACCAGTCGAGCCGTTCTTTCGCGATATCTTCATCCTGCTCGAGACGCAGCTCTCCAACTGCAAGCCTATTCCAGAGTTGCTTGTCTGCATCAGCATCTGGCAGAGCTGCCATGTACCGGACAATGCACTCCACAGCATGGCGCTCCTGCATCAGCAATTCAATACCAGCAGCGGCTATGTTTCTTTGCGTCGGACCATTTTTCTCTTTAGCCACCAATTCAGCAAGCCACACATAATGCAGCAATTCCCAGTAAAATAATCTCTCCGGAACTTCGTGTGCTGCCTTCAACCAAGGCACAGGGGAACGATCAATATATAGCTGATAACACAACTTGTCGACCTTGCCGCTGACCGCAGCCGTCCACAGTTCGCAGCCGCAGGCATCTGAGAGATAACTTTCTAACTGCACCATGTCAGGCTTGGTCGCACCCAGCCACACTCCTCCGACAGCTTCAACGTCCATTACCTCCGACTCGTGCTGACTTCCGGAATCATGAACACGTATCCGTTTGCGCCACAACTCTGCTTCCAGAATAGGAAGCACATCAGTTGCGCTGCCATACTGTGCCCAAGACAACACCGTGTAAGCGCCGGACTCAGAAGGCTGTTCAATGTCTACACCTTGATCGATCCAGTGTCGAACACAATCCACGCAATTGCCATAAGCTGCGTACATGCACAAATACAAGGACTTTTTCTCATTCTCCATTGTTTTCAATCGCTTTGCCCCTCGTGTTGCACTAGCATGCGCCATAGGATTGCTCATGGCTGGAACGCACTGTCTCGCAACATTGGCTGGAGCAAGGGACATGGCGCAATCTATTGATCACCGCTTCTTCGCACAGTGCCTCAAAGCAGCGCCAATAATCTTGTATGTCAGTAAAGGTGTAGCAATCGATCACTACTTGTTTGCACACTATGTCCAAGTAGCGCACGGAACCGTGTGTGGAAGCATTTCGTCAGCAATCACAACAATATGCAAATGCCACTTTACATTGATTGCCTACGCTCGGAATACAGTAAACAACATCACTTCTAGACAAACTTGGACAACTCTGCACGGCCGACGCTACTGCGCAGTCCTTGCCGGTCAAGAAATTTATCTCAGAGCACCAAATGATTCTTCACACATTGTGGCAAACCATTTGTTGTGCCATACCCAGAAACACACAGCCAGTTTGGTTAGTGCGTCAAACGATTCTTCGCACATCGCATCAAATCATTTGACGCCAAGTACTGAAATACATAAACGACAACATGTCAACCATGCAGCGATAAATCTCTCACCTTCAAGGTTCTTCGGTGACAGTCATCATGATGTCACCGTTCTCGTCTCGGGTGACACCACGATGCAACGGGCCACTGTACCGAATCCAACCACTGTTATCGAGTGCTCGCAGCACCTGGTCTCCCTTCAGACGGCGCCAGCCTCCCGCTGTGAACTCAATGCGGAACAACACGCCCAGTGGCCTCATTATAACGACGCAGACAATGCACTGAGACTTTGCTTCGGTGTCGAAAAGGCAACAATGACCATAACGTACTTACAAGGCCCCGTGCCTGAGTCCGTCATCGTAGTAGCCATATCGCTCGCGTGCGTCAGCCACCGATCCTCGCAATGAGAAATGCTCACCTGCCGCTGGCTGTAGATGGCGGCCAAATCGACCACCCATCGGCACGTCACGGGCCTACCAACAACAGGCCAAATTATGAAGACTCGAAACAAGCTATTGTATGTTAAGTTTCTGTGTGTGAAGTTATTGTATTGTGTGTGTGTGTAACGTTATTGTGCCACTGATGGTGAAAGATCGAGAAAGTAACATGGTAGGTATGTATGTATGTATGTATGTATGTATGTATGTATGTATGTATGTATGTATGTATGCATGACAAACGCAACTGCAGTGTACGCATGGGATCACAGCCTCTGGCAGAAGGACCAAAAAGCATTGCGTCGTAGCTGGCGTGTAGGTAGCTGCTGCCATGCCCACGAAACTATTGTCTGATCACAAAACGAAACGAACACAGGAGAGCCAACAAATGCGGCTGGCATCAAAAACATGCAACAAACAAGAAATGGCAGTAACTGTTCATGCGGCTGGCATCTGCATACACTTCTTCCCACGTTGGGTCAAAGTTCTTGGCACCAAAGACATGCACTCATTGTCGCGCCGTGCGACACACGTCTGTCCTCCGTCCACGATGATGACCGAATAGGCACCTGCACATGCAGCAGACACAAAGAAGCTTCATACATGCCATCTTCTTACAGCCTAAACATGGTCAACAAGTCTTTCCTGCATAATTCAATTCAAGCAGAAATACTGTATATCAAGTATGTGATGGTGACACCTCCAAAGATCGGTGCAGTTTTCTAAAGTCATGAAGATTTTGAACTTGTGGATTCAGCACAGCGCAATGCAAAACTCATTGGACAGCTGCGGTAAGTCTGAAGTGACAACGTTGTGCGCCACATAAGGCAGCATCTTCTGCTGACCACCTGGCAGATGTCTATCGCCGTGCCAATTTAGCCTACAACGCTCCTGTTCCTCTTGGCTTGTCAACTACTGCCCCACGACACCGGTGCAGACAAGCGCATGAGAAACAAACACAGCTGCACCTTTCGAAGTTTTGCCGCTATGATTCATCGGATAACACATTTGCTTCTCGCATCAACTATCGCACAGTGCTTCAATGTGGCCACAGGAGCTGTGGAAACTACCTTGCCTCAATCCATCGGATGACACACTTCCTTCTCGAACAACTGTCGCAGTGTTATAAACTCTCTTCAAGAGGAGAGGCATCATCTTTGCACGGTGCATCAATGTGCCCACACAAGCTGTTAACACAAACTTCACTATCGCAGGCATCATCTTCGCACATTGCATCAATGCGCCCACGACAGCTGTTGACAGTGTACCATCCCATGACATGAAGCTCTCGCGACATCTGCCTTCCTGGCATCATAAGGCAGTAGAGCAAAATACAAATAATGGTAGCTACCTCGCCTCAATTCATCGGATGACACACTTCCTTCTCGTAACAACTGTCGCACTCTGATAAACTCTCTTCAGCAGGCATCATCTTCGCACAGCGCATCAATGTGCCGACACAAGCTATTAGTATAAACTTCGCTACCGCAGGCATCATCTTCGCACATTGCATCAATGCGCCCACGACAGCTGTTGACAGTGTGCCATCCCATGACAGGAAGCTGAAAGGAAGCTAACGACCAGAAGCTATGGTTCAGTGCGACGTTGGCACTTAGAAAATGTCCCTTGTCGACATTCTTCTGCTCGCTTCTGAAATGCGGCAACTTTCTCAGCGATCGCTGCTGGTGGCCCACGTTCGAGAACATCCCGTGGCGGTGGACGTAGCAATAATAAATCACCCAAAGCCGTCACGCGGCTGAACATGACGTAAAGATGGAGCCACCAATTGTCGTCGTCCATCTCTGGCAAACGCGCACAATCAACCACTGTGCCTTTCCGCAAAGTCAAACCCTGCGACCCTGTGCTTGTAAAGAAGTTTGCGTGCGTCATCCTGAATCCACAGCGGCGCACCTGGTAATTCTGCGTGCTGGAGAATTTCACGACAATTTCTTCCGCAGGCAAAAACCAAAAGCTGCGAGCCAACTTTTCGGCCGTTGCATCATCTGGGACATGTTGCCGGCATAAGTCCATCAAATTCATCCAGTCAGAACATCCCTGGAAACCATCAATGGACAGCCAAATGCCTGACGGCAAATACCGTGGCGAAAACAGATCTCCACCAGCGCAGTGCGAATAGCGTCGGCGATCTTGGCTGTGAAACTCAAAATCCATGATGGTGCCAACGGTGTCTTGAATCATTCCTTTGTCAGCAGCCAACTTCGCGATAAGTCGCACCTGCATGCCGACATGACAGGGAAAGATTCCATGCATATGACCAGTGCGGTAGGGATTCGGACGGTTCAAGAAGCGGAAAGCAGTCTCCTTGTCCAGGTCACTGCACACATCAGCTGCCTGAAGCAAAACTAATGGATGTGCCAGGCGGACAGCATCCATAAGCGCTCTGCGGCACATCATGCGACCCAGAGAGGCCCAGTAAATCGACATGCCGTATCCTTCGCGAAACTTGGCTTCGTCGAACCGTGCATCTTGCACACCAGGAGAAACATCTACCGTAAACCTTTCCTGCAACCTTGCCCACAACGAATCGGGAAAGCGTTTGCCAGACCGCATGTGCTGCAAAATGTCAATCAAAGGGTCACCAGGTTTGAATCGCATTGTGCCACGGAGCTCGAAAACATCTGGAATCGAGCCAAAAAGTTGCTGTGCGTGCTGCACCTCTGCTGGCACGTCCTGATAGACATAATTCCCATCGTCGTCCTTCGCTTCCAAGTCGTCCAGCAACGACAACTGCGCAGTCGGACGAAGCTGAAAGAAATCACCAAGGTGCAGAACAATCGGCACCCGACCAAAAGCACAACCAGTTTTTGTGTAGGTGTGTCGGTCCACTTTGAAAACGACACGACGACCCAGCATCGCTCGATAGTCCAACATGTTGTACAACAAAGCAGATACCATGCTGATCTCCTCCACGACCAACACGCGAACCGAGCCCCAGAGTTTTTGTAGCGCGTTTTCCTTGGAGCCGGCCGCCATGTTGCTGTTGGTCAGGGACTGGACACCGAGCAGCGCGGCTCCGTGTAATGTCCTTGCCCGCACCTGCTCTGTGGAGATGTTTTTGGCTTGCGCATTCTTGGCGGCCACAACCATCAGGGTCTCTGCCTCATTGTCTGCTGGCCAAATGAAATGGACCACTGGAAAAATGATATTCTGCACGATGTGCGTCTTGCCAGAGCCGCCTTGACCCAGAAGGAGCATGTGGTAGACATGTCGCTTGTCGGGCGGCTGCTCCGCGACTTCTTGCTCGTAGACAACGTCGAGCACCTCGGCAAAGCGCATCATGAAAATTTCCTGGTCCTCGTTCAAGCGCCTGTTGGCGGGTAATGCTTGAATCATAGCTTTCACTAAGTCAGAAGGCTTGCTGTAAACCCGTTGCTGGCTGAAGCGAACACAATCAGCAGGCAGTCGAGGTAAACATTTCTTCAAAAAGACGTGGCGGTCGTCCTCGCCCGTGTCCATGGGCGCTGCTTCCTCTTCTGCGACTGCTCCGGTACGTGGTCCATCCAAGACGTCTGCTCTTCGGTCCTGATCAGCAATGTTCTGACGGCCACCAACGCATAATTTCAATCACAGATTTCAAACGACACAGAAACATTAAACAAAAGTTCTTTGTGAACACAAACCAAGCAGCTGGTGACAAGCTGTTCAATGCATGAAACACGGCATGCAGGTCGTGTTTGCTGCAGCTCTTCCACTTAGCAGCCGCTTCGAACAAATCATTCTTGATCCACGCCTCCTCCAGAAAATCTTTTGTGTACTGATTGTGTCGCCCTTGGCATTCGAACAGCAACAGTTTCTTCTGCTCTTCTGCGTTCGCTTGGAACACGATGGGTTGAAAGACTTCCGATGGCTTTGTCGCAACACTAACTTCCATCTCTTCCTCTGGATTGTCAGCAGCCTCATCGTCGTCCTTCTCTCCAGCCGTGGTGATCTTCACGTACTCTTCATAGAGCCGCGCATCCGTGTCGCGGCGCCGCTTCGGTTTCTGTTGCCTGGCTCGCGCCAATCCCTCCAGATGCGCAATACGACTTTCGGCCAACATAGAAGAATATTGTGCTGCAGTGCACCGTGGCTTCAACCGATCAGGGTCTGTGTCTGGAGTTGTCACTGTGGTGCCTGTCGCCAAACTCAACTTCTCTTCCAGCAAAGCAACCATTTCAGCTGTCTCCCATAAAGACGGATATTGTTGACGGGCAGCAAAGCGGTATCTGGCGATCGTTGCTTCTCGTTTCATGTCATCCTGCCATTCAAGCAATGATCTAGTGAACGCAACTGCAGCCGTTTCCGACATATCCTCTCCAGGGACGCGTTTTTTTGGTGTGGAATACTGCTTGAAAGCTTCCAACACCAATGTCTCTGCATCCTGCTCGACGTTCTCGTCGGCAAAGATTGCAGTAGGACGACATTGCACCTGTTTGTACATAGCGTTGCGCTCAGAGTCCAAAGTCAACGGAGGCATTGTGAAGCCTTCAAACATAGGAACACGAGGCTCTGTGCTGATGCGTTGAGCATGAGTCTGGTACAACTTGTATGCCGGATCGAAGTACACATCAACGTAACGAGGTATGGCTGCTCGAACCGACCGCTCTGCGCGCGGCGGCAGCTCAATGCGATAGACCCACATACCGTACGTTGACCAACTCAATCCTGCGATGACGAAAACACACAGTGTAACATGTTCCTACTCCGAAACTTCGGTGCAAACTCAAACAAAGAACTACTAGTACAAAAAGAACAAGAAAAGACCCATCTGGCCTGCAAGCAAAGGATGTGACCCACGAAACAGATAATCCTCCAGACTGCTTGTAGTCACTGCCAACGGCCTCGACGACTTCAACAAAGATGATCCCTCAAGAACAGCAACATCTTCTCCAGTAGCTTGCAAAGCTCTCAAGTTGGTGGCCTCACCCGATTCAGTGTCGTCTCGTGCCACGGTTTCTGTCACCTGGTGAATCTTTAACAGTTCTTCTGTGAATGTCAATTTTTGTTGGGCCTTTTTCCCTGGACCACCTCTGTCCAAATCAACCGATGAATCGTACACAGCAAATGCTTCGTCCAAATCAGCACAATTTTGCCCATGAGGACCAACATAAACATAGACACTCTCACCAGTTTCTTGGTCTACGCGTGCAACCTGCTTCCAACCAACCAAGGTCACTGGATCAAGGCCATCGCGACGAAACACCACTGGATCAGAAGCAACATCCAGATTCTCCTTCGGTCGCAAAACACTCTCGCCATACTGCTGCCTCCAAGCTTCCACAGCGAAAAAAATTGCCTTTTTCACATATAGCTTCCAGGTGCGATGCGACGCAAAGGTCATGTGCTGAAACAACAAAGGGAAGATGAGTTCACTGGCACTTTTCCAATGACATCGACGATAGGAAGACGACAGGCGAGACAATGTCTTCAATGTTTCGGCAAAAAGCACACCACGTCTGCCTGCAACATGCTCGCCAGCCGCGCGCGCAGCTTCTGCCTGCTTCTCACGGTCTTGTTCGCGCTCCTGCCGTTCATTCTCCAATCGCTCAATGCCTGCGCAACAAGAAGACGTGTTCGGACATGCATATGTCACCACACACACACACACACACACATATATATATATATGGAGGATGCGTGGCAGACGTCTTCTCACATTGAGTTAACGTTGCAACGTGGCCCGCACTACAACATCACCAGCAACAAGAAGACGTCTTCTCACATTGAGTCAACGTTCCAACCTAAAGACAACAACAGCAACAACAACAACAAAAACAGCAACAGCAACAGCAACAGCAACATCGAACCAAAAAGACAAAACATCTTCTCTATGAATGCATACAGGGAAAACAGAAAGTTCCAAAACAATATACAACTTTCTGCAGTCCTTTTTGGAGCTCTTCCAACATACCAGCTAAACCAGGTCCAGGCTTGGTGGTATAGCTGTTGATGTAGAAGCCGCTGTTGATGCCATCACAGAATGCTTCACTGATGCCGCAGCGGATGGCTCGTGTGAGTTCAGCGGTGGCATCGTCTGTGTCTTCCGCGTTTGCCATGCGCACATCTTGTTCTTGCTCTTCTGCTGGCGGCATTGGCGCGTCCTCATCTTGTGCGTCGCTGGTGACAGGCTCGCCTTCTTTCTCCATGAATTGTTGATGAGCCGTCAGCCAAGCAGATCGAAAGTCTGGCGCCCAATCTCTGCGACTTAACCATGACACTGCAGTAGTCGGCGCGTCAGAACGAACCTCATAAGCTTTGCCATTCCATTCATACCAAGCCATGTAACCCAAGGAATCAGTGAAGCCAACATGGGGCAAATGCTCGTCGGAATCTAACCACAGTGCAGGATCAAGCACACGCCTCATATCTTGCAAATCCAAGTTGTGACGCCCGGCGACCAAGCCGCCATAACAAGTCTGACACTCGAAAGGCGTCAGCTGAATAGGGCGCATGCGACCTTGCATGCCGTAATCAGCTTCTGCTTCTGATCCAATGTGAATGCTTGGACGCAATGCCTTGCCCTTGCGTCGCACACGACAACCTTCGAAGACATTCACCACGTGGTAGAAGCCATGCCTGCAGATCTTGAAGCGCACGGAGCTCGCATCAGAATATTTGTAGCACGATTCGCTGCAGGCATGCCGTAGCAGCGTCGGCATCAGACTATGCAAGTCCTGAACAGCATTACGCACTCGAGCAACAAATCTCAACACATGCCATTCTTAACAAAACCATTATATGGCACGACTCTAATCAAATCTTTTCCATCGATGCCCTGCCTCTGCAAATGCGAGCTGCCACGCTGCGGCGTCAATGTCCGCAGTATCGGCTGCGCAGAGTACACTGCGCAGCCGATACTGCGGTGTTTGCGCCACCGCCAAGTTGTTGATTGGCTGACTGAAAATCCGCCCACACCGCTTTGGCGGTGAAGGCGTGCTTATTGGGGGGCAAAACAGCAACACTAAATGCTCAATGACATTTGTTAATATAGCAGTCGCTATA